GACGCTGCATAGTATCCATTCAAAAGCAAAATGTTTTCTATTTTCATTTCTAAACTGATTAAGAATTGCCATGCTTTACCTGTGATTTCATCTCGTAAAGAGTAGCATCCTCTGGAGTTAACTGAATTGCTTCATCCCACTTGTGAATAGCTTCTCGGTACCTGTAGTTGAAACAGCATCATAGTCTCACTATATTTAAAGATATTAGAGATTTCTATGTATATCTTGACATTGTCCTAAACCAAGTGCCATGGTATCCCATTAGTATGAAATATTTTTCTAACCACTTCCCCATACGACATGCTGATTTGTTTTCAGGACCTGGGCCATTTATTCTTCTGACCAAATGGATATAAAGAACTACTGTACAGCTGGCCTTAAGCAAACTTACAAGTCAATATAGCAAACCTATGGCAAAGCAATTACTTAAAACTAGAAATCTTTAACTAAATCCAGTTCCCTTTATTGTCAAAATCATCCTTAGTCAAGCATAAACATAATCTGAACTCAATATGCTACGGTTGTAATTGAAAATTTATTTTCAGTTTAAAATATGCTGAAATCACTCAACTTCAGGAAAACACACAGTAGCTTCATAATATGCTGCCCTTCCCTAGAAAACAGAAAAAACTTCAGGAGAGTTGAACAAAAACCAATAAAAAGTAGGTCGTTGTCTTCAACTAAGAGGTAAAACTTTGACAAATGCATAGTAGGGTTTGGAACCAAATTGAGGACCTTTAACACCATAGTAAGACATAGCTACAGGGGTGCAGTCTTCCAGCCCTAAAAGTGGTAACATTACTGAGACTGTGCTGTGCCACATTTCAAAATCCACCTTTTTTATAGAACTCGGTAGGAACTCCTGTACTTGTAATATTTTCACTGCAAAGGTATGAAAACAGTTTCTTGTGATAGAAACATACACTACAATTGTATACAATAGTATAGAGAAAACAAGTAATTTTGCATTTCATATGGAAATAGTTTTTATCTTCCCCTATTCCCCATTTTTCCTTTCCTTTTCTTTCCCCATTTTTCAGTCCTCTAGGTTGTATGACACCTCAAGGTTTTCCAGAGCAGTCACATGAAAAGTTTAGAAAGTCTAATCTGGAATAGAAGAGTAGATGAGAAAAACAATGCAGTGGAAGTCAAACTCTCATGAGGATTTGGGTATTGTTAATTTGTAAATGACATTGGTAAGTGTGTTTAGCAGTCAAATTAAACATCAAAGGATGTTTTCATAATTACCACGTTTGCCCAAAGCTTAGCCACCAGCTGTGCATTTCACATCTCAATTCAATCTCCATGGGCAGGTGTTCATACTAAAGGAAATCACATATTCTTCATATTTCAGCAGAAGCTTTAAGCTTAGATAGCAAGAACTACTTTTTCAGTACAAGACTATAATTTTGCTAAAGACTTAGCACAGATATAGGATAATAAAACCCACATAAATAAGGGAAGTCCTCAGCTCGGTTAGGCTGTGTACTGGCCATGCAGTAAGGCACAATATTGTGATTGTAGCAAAAAAAGTTTAGAAAAATACAATTTTGAAAACAGAGCAAATACAGTCATGACTTCCGCAACTAGAAGGAAAGCAACAACACTGACATTCTGGCAAGGGCAAGATGTAAGATAAAAATTGCATTTCAGGAGTCTTTATTTTTACTTCTAGAGAGGGACCTCACTGCTCAAAGTGTCAATCTGAATGGGATAAAAACTCACAGCGAGAACATGTGTCCTCTGAAGGGAGTGCCAAATATAAGCAAATATTCCACCAAATCTTGCTGGGTTTTGCTGCCAATTTGTCAACAATCTGCCAACAAAACAGACGGGCAAGGGAAAAGAGGCTGTCCATTCACAGAAATGTTTTGCTACCTGTGTTCCGTGTATGACCAGTAAGTGACTCAACTCTGCCTGGGAGCCTCAGAAAGCATGATCCAAAAGAACTGACAACAGAACGCTGGAATTTCTTCCCAAGACTTAGAACACAGCAGAAGGCTGGAGAAGGATGATTTGTCTGCAGGTACATGCTGAACCCCCTACTCAGAAAGACTGACTACGCTGTTTGCAGTGTGGAGATATTGACATGGCTGTGAAATACTGACCTTTTCAGTGCATGTATTTCCTTAAGAAGAAAGTCTGACAAAACATGACTAGTCTGTTCTTACAAATACTTGGCAAAAATCATGTTTCCATTGTTGTTCCAGGAAAAACTATTGACACTGTTCATATTAAGAGAAAATGAGCCACGTTGCTTGCTTGCTCCAGTAATGCAAATTAGGGAAAAATGTCTTTCCATAAAGATAGCCCATCAAAGAATTTCCTAGGTAATTATTTTCAAGGAAAAGATTATATACTGTATTAAATACCAAACCCCTTACTGAAGGGGTTCCAAGAAGTTGCCAGTGTTCCAGTAATTGTTACAAAACCCATACATCTTGACTGAAATGAGAAGTAAGCTAGTGTCACATAATAAATAAAAATCAGATCATTTTACTGTCAGCATCTTTTTAAAGATGAACTGTACAGGAACTTACTAGCATAAGGAGAGAGAACTAGTTTTGAAAAGGAAACTAATGTAAATATGGCATCTGCTTTGGGTTTAACACAAATTTAATGAGCATTCCATTTGCTATTCCCGTTTTTTTTCTTAGCAAGTAGATGTCACATACAGTTGAATGACTAGCAGGTAAGAAGTTTCCATGCAACACCTGAGCTGCAAAAACTGCTAACGTCATTGCTAGCAAAAGTGAAGTAGAAAATCTTAGCTTATTGCTGTTCCACTGATGTCTACCTGAATTTCTTCCCACCTGCCCGATATGTAGAGAGAGCACACATGTTCAGGACACATGCTATGGCAAAGCTGATACACGGTGACATGTACTTGAATCTTACGTCCATCCAGAAAAACAGATATGAAACCTAGCACTTCAATAATTAAAATAGCTTGTATCAAAAACAGTATTCCAGAAACAAGAACAAGACTCAAAAATCACAGATCCAGCCACAGAAGAAGCTACAATGTTCTTCAGAAACCTCTGATATTTATCAAAGTGGAGATTAATCCCAATCACCACTTGGTTGGGAGCCTACTGACTAGAAAGCAGCTTTGCAGTAAAAGACTGAAGCTTCCTGAGGGACAAGAAGTTGAACAAAAGCCAACAACATGCCCTTGAAGTAAAGAATCCAAACAGCATCCTGGCCTGCCTTAGCATCATCAGCAGACAGAGAGGTAATTTACCTCAGCTCTGATGCGACCACATCTGGAGTGCTGGGTCCAGTTCTGGGCTGGCCACTATACCAGACATTGACATACTGGAGTCAGTCCAGCAATGGGCAGCAAAGATGATTAAAGAGCCTGGAGCATCTGTCATATAAGGAGCAGCCCAGAGAGATGGGACTATGCAGTTTAGGGAAGGGAAGGCTCAAGGGGGATCTTATCAAAGTGTAAAAATACCCATTTTGGAAGTGGATAAAGAGGATGCAACTATTCTCAGTCATGCTCAGTGACAGGACAAGAAGCAACAGGCAGAAACTAAAGCACAGAAAATTCTGTTCAAACAAATCTCCACCAAGGGAAATATCCAAAACCTAATCAGACAATGTCCTCAGCAACTTGATTTAGCTGATCTTGCCTTGAGTAGGAGTTGGAATACAGAATCTCCTACATTCCCTAAGATTATATGATACTAAAACAACAGCAACCTCAGTGATACATGATTTAAGATGAAACATGATGAAACATCTCTTGCCTAAATTAAATTCTAAGCAAAATATAATCTTACAACAAATAGGTTCACTACTTTTTAAATATCTAGGATGATCATAAAAACTTATGTCGCAGTCAGGAAGTCACAGAATAATGATGGCCATATCTTTATTTTCTAGAATATCAAATCAATAGTTCCAGCAAAAGTAAAAACCTAACCTGTACATACATTGTAACTAAGCATCTGAACATGAATAATATAAAGTATTTTTAAGACTATCCTATTTTGAAGTATTGAATTATGATTTGAGTGTAGAGATATAGTATACTTAACCTTTTCTACACACAGTGATTTCAGTAAAACAGCACACCTTCCTATAAACAAATTATACAACTATAACCAGAACTAAAATTTTATTTTCTCTTATTGCAGTGGCATAAAACTGAATAAATTATTGAGAACTGTACACATCTGGGATAGCTTTAGTGTAGAAGATAAAATAAAAATTGGCACAATCCATTGAATAGAACATGAAATCCCAAAGCTCTCCTAAAGCACTAAAACTGCTCTCTTCAGACACGCTACTAACCATTCAACAGCTATACAGACTTGGCACATTTAACTACAGCTTGCTAAACTTTAGAAATAAGCATCTCATGCTTACACTTTACTTTTCAACACCACTTCCAGGAAAACAGGATCTCTTGAACTCTTAAACAAAAACATTGAAACAAATTTGTATCCCTGTAACAAATATTTAATAGGATTCTTCTGTGTAAAAAAAAAACAACAAACAAACAAAAAAAACAAACAACAAAACCCCAAACCAAACACATTCAAGTTACAGAAATCAGTTTTTTCAGTCATACATACGTGTATGTCTGTGTATAAATATATATAAATATATATATGCATGCTGGTCACATCCAGACAGTCGTGGGTCAATCACTCAATGTACAGATGGAAGATGGTGACAAGTGGTGTCCCCCAGGGATCTGTACTGGGACCACTGTTGTTTAATATCTCCATTAATGATATTGACAGGGGCACTGAGAACACCTTCAGCAAGTTTGCTGATGACACCAAGCTGGCAGTCAATATATGCCAGAGGGATGGGATGCCATCCAGAGGGACCTGGGCAAGCTGGAGAAGTGGGCCCAGGTGAACATCATGAGGTTCAACAAGACCCAGTGCAGGGTCCTGCACCTGGGCTGGGGCAACCAGAGATATCAATACAGGCTGGGGGAAGACAGGCTAGAGAGCAGCCCTGTGGAAAAAGACTTGGGGTTATTAGTGGATCAAAAGCTGGACATGAGCCACCAATGTGCAGTTGCAGCCCAGAAGACCAACAGCATCCTAGGCTGCATCAAAAGAAGTGTGGCCAGCACACAGAGAGGGTGATTCTGCCCCTCTACTCTGCCCTGGTGAGATCTCACCTGGAGTACTGT